TGCGGTTGTTAACTCGCCTGCTAAGCGTGGCAACTACTGGCAAAACCCGCCACTCCTTCTATGTTCAAAAGTGGACAGTTAATGGCTGATATGGTATACGAATAATACCAATATCGTCATAGTCGTAGAATACTGATGGATATATATATGTAATATTCGTCAGATCCGTCAGTATTCTACGACTATGACGATATGATCATTTGACTCAACACAGCGCTACACAAATCACCGTGTGATAAAATTAAGACGAGGATATCTGCGGAATATAATTAAAGAATTGTATTCCACGAAAAAAAACCGACATCAAATGTGACAAAACCAGTTATTTTGATCTAAAAACTAAACTACTGTATCAATTTTAATCGAATTTCTATCGGGTCAATGTGTAAGTTTATCTTACAGTACTTACCTTTTAGATAAAAAAAGAATTTTCAAAATCGGTTTAGTACTGACAGAATCATGAGATAAAAATATTAAAAAAATACAACCTAATCAAAAAACCTAATAAAAAAAAAGAGTTTTTGAATACGGTTGAAAATGTTGCAAACAATGGATGTAGGCTCAGGATCGCTTCGTTATGAAATATAAGCTCGTCTTAAGTTCTACAGTGAACAATAAACAAATTGATGGTGAAATTAGCGTGCCTTTAAATTTGTAGCGACACAAGGGAATCGAATGGACAAATATCTGGGATCCTCCATTGATTACTACGCCAAACAGGTAGTGAAACAGAAACAAAACTGAACAATTGCAACAAAATCTACAGGAATTGGAAGCAATCGCAGTCCGGGAAAGACAACCTATTTCCCAGAGGTCCGCGAACGGGTCGTCTTAATAGATTTGGGGCGTTAACTTATAAGGGATCAGTCTCATTCTAGGCCAGTTTGATCAAATGATAAGGGCGATCAAGTACCAGTCCAAGAGTGATGCTGTCGGGAAAAGATGTGAAAATAATCTAGTGAAATGTTGTTAAGTACTTTTTGATATAAATAGGGTTTTAATACATGCTTATTAAGGTCGGATTTCGTTGTCAAGATTCACAGCAACTGTTTACGCTTCGTAATCTAAGTCAAATGACAGGACTACAGGGGAGTGACAATCAAGGAATCAAATATATGATAATCTGGAATAGAGAAATGATATTAGGTACTAGCTCAATATATTTATATTAACATGGGTCCAACATTCGTGACTGTAATGAGATGGGTGCTTAACATAAGACCACATATACTTGATTACTTCCCATGCTGTATTAAAATAACAATGGTATATTAAGATATACCATATTTATTCATAATGACAACATCAGGCAATCCCCGCCATTCACAGGATCACGACTGAATAGAGCAAAGCGTAATGCGCTCCCATAAAACAAATGGTACGAATTACCTGAAAAAATAGGCTCGCAAAAATTAGGTTGACCAATGGCTATTATTTAGCTTCTAGTGTGTATCTAAAGCCGTGCAGGATTTGACCTCTTTCACCTAGGTATTTAGATGGAAAATCGCTTAACGGTTTTTACGGTGGGGTGACAGGATAGAGATCTATCCTAGATAGTTAGTAGCTTATTCGTTACAAGTTATGACCAGGGTTTAAGGCCCATATAGTCGATGAACAGTTCTCGAGACCTTGCGATACTTTTGTCGCGGGATTTTGTTACTTAGGGAAAGAAGATCTGTTAGTAATGAACTCTCGTTACCCTTTAGAACCGATGGTTAATTCCTGATAAATTCATGGCGACGGGGATAACTGACCGGAGCGTATCTTCGTGACGAATTAACCGAGAATTAACCACAATCTTGGGTTTATTGCTAATAATGAGTTCGTTGTTCTACTAACAATCCACGGGGGGGAGCTAGCGACCTCTGCTAGCAATATTTCTCCACATAGTGGTTCAATTTATGAGTGTACCCGAAGGCCCCCGCTGGAAGTCAGGGCTATAGTCTATCGACTGGCGTGCAATACTGAGCGGAGCCCTTATTAATAAACAATAGGTTGCATTTCTGCGAATATTAGGAATTATCTTTATGATGTATAGTGACAACTGTCAGCCTGCTGATTTGTTAAATAAATATTTATATTATTACAATACAACAATACAATATTTCAAGGCGAATTCTACGGTGTTTTTTTTAATAGATTTTAATAGATGATAATGGAATGGTAATCCTGCCTGCGCTAACGTTATACACTGTCGGAGCACCAGTGAAGGATGATAAATAAAAATTAAAAAACAGACCAGTTAGCCCATCGTGATTTTTTTTAAACGGGTGATAATAGAATGGTAACCCTGCCTGCACTATCGGTATACGCTGGCGGGGCACCAATGAGAGATGATAGGTGAGGATGAAAGCAGGTCGGTTAGCCCATCGTGATGAATTCCACTAGAATTAACGACAATGGTTTCCAGGGGGAACCGCGTGGAGGTCAACCTGATAGGGTGTATTGCTAGCAATGGGTCAGTTAGACCCCATTACTAACAATCCCTTTCCCCCCAAAGCCCATCGTGATTAATACACCCGGAATTCAGCACGATGGTTTCCAGGGGAGACCACGTGGAGGACGACCTGATAGGGTATATTGCTAGCAATGAGACTGGTAGTCCACATTACTAACAATCCCTTCCCCCCTAATTCCACGGTGTTACCACTGGAAACCACCGTGATTTATTCCCGTTTAATTCATGTAGTAAAAATGACTAAATTAAAAGGATTACCCAAAAAATTTCCATGACAATTTCTTTTTTAATATCCTAACTCGAGTGAAAGGAAAATAAAATTCAAGTAAAAGAATAACTTTCTCCTTTGGGTACAATGGGATTGTTAGTAATGGGGACTATCATTACCATTTCACACAATACACCCTATTAGATCGACCTACACGCGGTTCCCCTGGAAACTATGGTAGTTAATTCTTGAATTAGTCACTATGGGCCTATTGGACTAACTAACCTACTTTCTTCATCCCCCATTATTTTTCACTGGTGCTCCACCAGCGTATACCGATAGCGCAGGCGGGGATACCACTCCATTGTGATCTATAAAAAAAAAACTCTTTTTCGAAACAACTAAAAAATAACTGATACGTTATATTTATTATAAGTAGTCTGAATTGTAAAGATAAATATTAAATACTAGCGGTCCGTCCCGGCGTCGCACGGGTGGACATTTTTACAGTTTAAAAAGTGGCTAATAAGGCCGCACACGCGACGGAAGCTTAAAAATGGAGTAACTTCTTCCGTTTTCCCAACATTTTCCTTCACTGTTCTGCTCCTATTGATTGATGCGTGATGAAAAGTATACTATAACCTACCCAGAAGTAAGGAGAATAATTGTACCAAGTTTCGTTAAAATCCGTCCAGTAGTTTTTGTGTCTGTAACGAACATACAGACAGACAGACAAAAATTTTACTGATTGCATTTTTGAAAATGGAATGGTAATCACGGCTGCGCTATCGGTATACACTGACGGGGCGCCAGTGAGAGATGACTGGTGAAGATGAAAGCAGGTCATTTGGCCTACCGTGATGAATTTAACAAGAATTAAACACGATGGTTTCCAGGGGAACCGCGTGGAGGTCAACCTGATAAAGTATATTGCTAGTAATCGTATTGTAGATCCCATTACAACAATCCCTTCCACCCCCCGGCCTCTATTGCTTTTACTATATTAGTCTTTCCTAAATATCTCCCATGCACAGATATCGTCTACATACAATTTTATTACAAGATTTACTGTCGGGTAAATAAATTATTCGTCACGCTGTCAGACAAATCACGAGTTCAAAGCCGCAAGCAATAACTTGAAACTAATATTAAATAATTCAGATAGTAACTCAAACAATACCTATACATACACATAATGATGTTAGCTCTTATTTACTTACATAATAGAATTCTATTTGTTATTTAATATCTAATTAATTCTTTTTTGTTGTCTAATGGGTGAGTAAATATAAAAAAGTGGGTTTCATGTCTATACATTATTTATGCTTTGAAGGATAAGCAAGCCGAAGTGGCAATAGGCTGGTCACATAGCATGAAGAACCGAATACTGATAGCGAAGAAAGGTTCTTGAGTGGCGACCCCGTACGAGGGGAAGTCTATGTGCATTTACAGGATACAGAGGAATAACATCTGAGTTCTCAGGAATGGCAACACATGGGAGGTATCATGGGCGTAACAGTATACTCTGTTATGTCCATGGTACTGCTCATGTCTATAGGCGACGGTTACCACTTTCCATCAGGTGGGCCGTCAGCTTGTTTGCCATTCTAAGTTGTATAAAAAAAAATGTTCAGCAGTGGACAGATAATGTCTGATATGATCGTGATAACTATATTTATACTTACAATAAAATCGTAAACGCCATTATTTTATTTTAAAATCTCCTTTTCTAGTCTATCTAGTTCATCAGGCACGGTTACCATTCCATTTTCATTCATAAAAAAAATAGATAGTGGGTGTCTATGATAGCATAAATTTAATAATTTACTTATTTAGAATCTCACGTACAAAGAGGTCCCATCCCACTTCACCAAGGAGAACAAGGGGAGGGGGAGTAAATGAAAAAAAAAACACGTATTTGTGTTATAGGTATTATTATTGTAGAATCTATATAGCTATAGATTTTAATTACCTACCTATATCTAAGCAGGTATTACTATGTATATACTTATAATACGTAGGTAGATATGTATATTCTACAATTGCCCACTATGTTACATCAAACACTGTTCTGTTATCAAAAAAAAAAAAAACAAATTTGTCTGTGACTAATCTATTTACTATGACTATTTAAGAGTTATAAATAATTAGTACCTGTTCTCTTTAGCAGCTAATATTAATATCTATTAATATATGTACAAGAAATAATATTAAAGCATTATGAAACGAAATAGAAAAACAAAACAAAGTATTCTATTTAATGCAGTGACAAACATTATTAGCAATAGACAAAATGTAATTCAAGTTGGAATTTAGATAATAAATAAAACTAACCTTTTTAGAACAGTCGTGTAGTAACAAACTGCTTTTGCAGGTCCAAAAAACAACGTTCACACAATACTTTAACTGGCACACTTATTTTTATGAGTAATACAAGACATACCTAAGGGGTTACACTAAACAGATTTCTTGTTCACGAGATGAATCACCAGGAATGCACTTTGATACACTTAGAAATATACACAGAGAACACACTACAACACATGAACAACACAAATCCAAAGATTCAATCGAGTTTCGTATCGGTTTTATAACATTTTTCGATAGTACATAATCGTCGCAAGATAAAAGTTTCAGAGATAAAGACGCGCGACGCGGTAACACCGTCCGAAACCAAACGTATGACTGGTCGTCTAGCAGAGAAATATAACCGAAACAAAATCGAAGGAGCCCGAGCCGAAAGGCGGACGAAACAAACTGTTGCGCTTCTCAACTTAGCACGGTTGCCACACCAAACTATTTAATATAAACAGTTTTAAGTTAGAAGTTTGTTTTACGTTGTATAACGTTACAATCAACAATTAGATATATTTGTTTTGGTTTTACATTTGCAATTATAGCACTGTACGTGTTCAAAACTTAGTTACAAACGTCAATAAACTTATTTGTTTTTGTTGAAGTCACGGATCACGGCGGCCTATCCGGCGCTATGCAATACCTTCCACGTGAAGATAGCAACGTTCGCTCGATTTGCTTTTGCATTGAAAGTATAACTAACTTCACCCCATAAAGTAATAGAGAGGGGACGTTACCTGCTCTTAGAAAGGTAACAAAAGAATTTTAGTAATGCGTAAGAACAGCTTACTTAGTAGAATATTAAACTTATAATAATAAACATTTTATAATAAGACTTATAAAAAAAAATATATTTTTATCTCTAAGTTATTATTTATTAGTCATAGAAATGGAGACATTGTTTATTGTCATATTACATATCAGTTTTTAATTGAATAGTTATTTAATTAGATTTTTACAATTAAATCGAATTATTCTACTTAACACATTTGTCTCTCTTAAAACATCACCAAAAGCCTAACTGCAGTTGCTAACCTACATGCTAAGCGTAGCAATTATTAGCCAAACCCTTGTTATGGGGGAACCCTTGTTCAGCAGTAGACAGTTAATGTGTGATATGATGATGATTTCACTTAACTGGGTTGGTAGGTACGTACCTAGGTACCTCATAAAAGTGAACAATTAACGCAGAAATGATTAAAATGATGTTGATTGATCTTAATATGTTTATATGTCTGGTTAGCATACTTATTACTTGCATACTTTTCGTGAACAGTATTTATATATTTTTATGTATTTGTGTAGGCGTTTATATCCATGTATGTATATGTGTATATGTATATTGTATGTATGTATATGTATATATATATATATATATATATATATATGTGTGTGTGTGTGTGTGTGTGTGTGTGTGTGTGTAGGTGTATGTATATAAATATAATAATGAGTAGGGATAATAGTTATATTATTATATGTATCACATCTCCTATATTTAGAACTAACAAAATTTTTCATCGTGCCTCCCATCAAATTGTTTATAATTACTCATCTCCATCCAAAGGTTGCCTGGAAGAGATCGCTCTTAGCGATAAGGCCGCTCATTGTTTTCTCGTTGTGATTATTTCTGGTAATTATTTATATTTATAATAAGTTTACTATTGTAATCTTTTGGAGGAAACAATAAAGAGTATCTCTCTATAATTACCAAATATAAGATAAATAAATAATAATAATAAATCTCTTTATTTTCAGGTATATACCCATAGTTTACATTACATTATTAATTATACAAATTATTATTTTTATTTTTAAAATACAGAATACTAATTTAAGGACTGTATGTAATAATTCAACAACATACCTAGCTACAAACAGAATAACTTATAATACATATAAATTTCAGTTAAAATATATATAACCAACTATATGTACCGTTGGTTAGTTAGAATTTAAAATTTACATATAATCTTCACTGTGCTGTTATCTGTTAACACCTTTATATCATGCTCACTGCAAATGAACGAGTATATTCTGCATACAAAACGGTCTGTTCATTCGTTTTGTTCTAGAAGAAAATGTTATATTTCTTGAAATTATAAAATTATAAATATTACAATTAGACGCATGAAAATCGGTGATGGCCTTGTTTTCCGCCATCAATATTCAGAAAATTCCAATATATAGATATCGGAGTAATACTTTATATTGATATTAAATATATATATATATATATATATATATATATATATATATATATATATATATATATATATATATATATATATATATCAAATATATAATATCAATATAAAGTATATATTAATCCTTACTAGTATTATAAATAGTAAAAGTGTGTTCGTTTGTTTATTTGTTACCTTCTAGCGTCTTAATGGCTTAACTAATTACTATGAAATTAATAGACACATACTATATGGGGTAGAAAGGGTTATAGACTAATCCTTGTCACTAAATAATAATAATATTATAATATTTTCTTTATTTACGGATTACTAAGATCCATTTTTGTTAGTAATAATTGACTTAAACTATGTTAGTAGAGAAAAAAATACAAAATTCATTTTATAGCCCCTATAATAATTTTGACCCACAATGAGAGGATCGGGCTATCGTATTTATTACATAATGCCCTCAGAATTAAACTACTAATAAATAATTTTTCGGTCATGGACGAAGTCGCGGATAACTAGTACAACATACATATAGAGAATACTCATAAATACAAACGCTTGTACTGAGCGTGAATTAAACTCTTGACACCTTACCGCCTCAATCAATGGTCATGAAATTGAGCATATGCGTACTATTATATAGAATGAGGAATAAGTACGAATGAGAAAGAAAGTATAAATGACTTTGCATGCTTTAGACTATAAGGCGAAAATTTATACTTCACAATAAATCAAGATATGTAAAAATAATGTTCTAACAAATACATGTATCTATCTATATAAAATATGTTAAAATAAAACGACTATGCATTTTTTCATATCACAGTTCTAATATTAGAATTGACCTATACAGTTCTCCACAGTGGGTGGATAGTTGAAAATACATTTCCTTATATCCAATCAACTCGCGGTCGGAATATTTTCGAACTGACACCGCATATAAACCTTCAAGAAAAAAGCTTATACGTGTAACTATCTAACTTTTAAAAGGGCAGCAATATAAATCTACAATTCCTCGAATCTCGTGACCCACAAGAATTGGAGATGAGTTGATTCCACAATGTGGCCATCAAGCGAAAGTGTACTTACGAGTAGAAACGCACAATGGACGACCGCTACTTTTTTAAACAGCTACGGCACAGGTTAGGTAAGAAGCTACCACAAAAAAAGTTAAACGATAGGCAGCTATTAAATATATGTCCAGACGTCTTACTACAGTAGCGCAGGTATCTAATATCTTTTTATATATATAAGACGGTGTTAAAATTAATAAATAAATAATAATACTAATAAATTTAGTAATAATTAGTAAGAACTGCTTGCACGGAAAAGGATTTGGAGTAGAAAGAGGAAGAATGAGTAGGAATTATGAGTTGGAGGTTACTTTTTTAAATATCCCGCGGAAACTAATTTAATTTTCTTTGATTAAAAGTATCTAAAATGTTGATCGGGGATGTAAGGTATCACCATGCAAAATTTTATTTAAATCGCTCAAACAGTTTCGTAGATTAGATTACAAAAAGACAAACAGATAGAGAAACAAACAAAAAAATTAATAAATCTGGATGTGTTTTATTTAACTTCTAATATCCACCTGACTTGGAATTTTGCGTTTTTTTTTTTCTATGTACAGACATTCAACTACAGTTTTATTATATGTATAGATTAACCGCGACGGTTTCTAGTAAGACCGCGGAGTTTATACCACAGTCTAGAGTTTATTAGGAGAAATCTCTAAAACCGCACTGTACGCTGCCAATAATAATTTTCAATAATAATGAAACGAAAAACATGATATTTTAAACAAAGAGTGCGTTTAATGAAATTATAATATATTAAACATATTATAATTTCGACATTAATTAAAATTTAAATTTAGAAGCGAGCACAAACGCAGCGCGCTCTGCAAACGAACTTGTTTGCTAATGCCGTCGTATTAAAAAAAAAAAAAAATTCACGCACTCGGCTCTCCTTTGCGAATAATATAAAACAAATGAAAAAACATATATGTATATACACAAATTACGCTTCCTTTTGTATATTAGAGTCTCTCAAAAACAATCTCTAAATAAATGGTAATAGAAAATAAAGAGTTTTAGGATTATTTTATATTGTATTTTTTGAATTATATTACATTATAATTATATTGTTTTATTCTGGTTATGATTCAATCATCTCATTCGTGATTCACCGAATATTATTCATTATATCGTCCTTAAAATGTCCACTGTTAAACACAAGCGTCCCCCTTGGAGGATTTTGCCAGTAGTTGCCACGCTTGGCAGGTGGATTGGCAACCGCAGTTAAGTTTTAAAGATGTTTTAAGATGGACGTTGCTGCCCATCCTTCGTCCTTCTTAGTTGTTTCTTACGACACTCATAGGAAAGGAAGAGTAGGCATATTCTATGCTGGGACCACACGGTTAGATTTTAAGAAAATAAATGAATAGGTAACTCTTTTATAGATAATAATAATATGTCTATACCATTTTGCCTAACACTATTGTTGTGAAATATTTGTACTACTACTAGCGCCATCTAGTTTCAATCATATTAAAGTCATATTATACAAGTGAATTATTTATTTATTTTACACTTTATTGCACCAAGTAAAAAGAAAAATAACAAAAACAGTAAATATTAATGAGAAGTGATACAAAAGGCGGCCTTATCGCTAAGCAATCTCTTTCAGACAACCTCAATCAATCAACAAGGACATCTCATGCCCGCCAAATGTTGTGTGGGCGGGCGAGGTAGAGGCCTCGGAGTATACCCCACTACTCCGGCTTCAACTCCGGAGGCGACGACCTCCGGGTCGCCGGGTCCTTCAGCCGGCATACACTGATGGTCTCTGTATGCAAGCTGGTGTTCAGACAACCTTTGGGTAGAGGACATTGAGAAAAAGACAAAGGGTAGGTGGCGCACTAATATATACATATTATCATATTTATGAATGTTTTTAGTAAATGTTCTATGATTAAAGTTTCAGTATAACAAAAATATACTTCTTAAATAATTTTCATGCAGTTTCTTCAATGAGTGAAGAGGAAATGGCGTTAGCCACTTGTGATATTTTTTTTTAATGGGTGACAATGGAATTGTGACTCTGCCTGCGCCATCGGTGTACGCGAGAGGGGCACCAGTGAGGAATTAAAATTAAAGCAGGTCAGTTAGCCCATCAAGACCAATTCTACTAGAATTAACCATGATAGATTCCAAGGGAGACCGCGTGGAGTTCGAGCTGATAGTGTACGAGGTTTGTCCGGAAAGTACGTATAAAAGTTTTTTTTTTATTTTACAATTATTCAGGTAAATCAATTTTATCCCCTTCAAAGTACTCCCAAACAAAAAAATTAATAAATCTGTGACATAATGCACTTGTGCCAACGCCGTTCCACTGTGAGAAGGCTCTTGAAAGTCC